ATTAAGAAAACAAAAGTAACTGATTTAAAATTGGGGTGTTTTAACCAAATATATTTAAACAGCAAATGTCCTGAATACAAGACAAATGTCATCCTAATCCAAAGACTATCCACTAAGTCCACATTCCACCTGATTTTTAGATTAGTGTTGTTCCCCTCCAGTTGTCAGTACTTTTTTTGTTACCTAAGCATGTCTTTCTTTTGATGTACAAATACAAAGGTACTCTTGTTTATAATTTTCTTTTCCAGAAGGCCATAATAGTTAAAATTTGAGGCTGTCAAGTTTTGAAAAGCTTTGTCAAAACCCATCAGTTTTACCAACATAGAAAATACACAATCCAGTTAAAGACTCTGTCCTTCCCTATTCTCTATATCTGTATATCAGTCTTGCTTTAGTCTATTTTATTATTCCTCTGAAATCTCAGCCTAAAATATTTGGCAAAGGCCCATTGTTATTATAAACTGTCAGAATACTTAATAAACATTTGCCTAGAGTTTCCCGACAAAATTTTTTTCATAGCTGAATTAAAGGGTATACATAGGAAAGTTTTCACATCATTAACAATACACATTCTGTGTTTTCTACTGATTGTATGGGTGGCCTAGAAAAAACAACAAACTTGTATTTCAGGTGCTGCTGCATGCAGGTGCAAGGCTCTGCACAAATACAAATCTCATTCTGCTGACTCAAGTGTGTCCAGAAATGGCAAAGGAACAGGGGAGTGGGGCTCAGCTGAAGTTCTCATCTATCCACCTCCAGCCACCACCACCAAGAGTGCTGCACTCTCTGGGACAGAAGGTGTTGTGATCTCAGACTGGGTCTCATCCACCTCAGCCAGTAGTGCAAAGACCTGGCACTCAGCCGCATAATAAGTTCTGGAAGGACAGCTGCATGAGGATCTTCATGAGTTATAAATGCTCTGGCATTCAGAAGTGCAAACACAAATTCCTAAGTTGGATCTGCACAGCTGTCTCAGAGTACCGCAACAGGAAGAGACCCCTCATACGTAAAAAGGATGATGGTAAAATAGGAAAGTATTTTTGTCAATGACCTGCAACATATACAACCTATACATTCACTTATAAATGGCTAATGAGGCTTGTTTAGCCTTTGTATATAGCTAAGCTAATTTTTTATCTAATTACATGTATAATGAGAATTTTGTATCAAAGCCCCTAGGATTCCTCCCTCTTCCTATATAATTTGTTGTTGTTTCCATTGTTTTTAGAATTTTTTAGAATACCTGTATAATTTTTCCACTCCTGCTGTGGCAGATGGTCTTGTTAGTCACTGCTAATCTACTCTCTTTTGTAAACTAATAACATAGGTAAATAGAAAAAGTTCTATCATCACTATTTCATAAAATAGAACTTTTTATTTGTGTTTTTCATATAAGAACATCTGATACATTTATAAGTAAAGCTACAAAGATTAATAATAATAATAATAATAATAATAATAAACACATGTAAATTCCATGTGACATTTTACATCATAATGGCTACCACTTTAAAAATCCCCATTTTTGCAATTTTCACATTAAGGTCCAATTATGTTAATAAATTTTTGCTATAAAATCTCAAATTTGTCTGCAATAAAAGTGAACAGAAAGAGGGAGATGATAGCTGAATTTATCTATGAATAAAATTCATCAAAGCATATCCTATAAAGAAGTTTACAGTCAATGAAATCACAAGTGTCTTACTGAGGCCCATTTGTCCCCTGAAATCCTGAAATGTTGCCATCTAACAGAGCCTAACTTAATAGCAGATATTAAAACAAAGTGTAATGTCAGCGGGAGGAACAAAGTCAGAAGACAGTTGCCACTTAATTATAGTGTTCTGCCAGAAGTGAGCTAGTAAAAATATCTAACGTGAGGAACAAAAAAAAGCAATTAGAAGGGATTTTAAAAACAGCGCTGAAACACTTTGCTTCTTCCTGCAAGTCCTTTCCTGCTGAGAGCAAAACAACATGACAGCAAGGAAGGCACGAAGAGCAGCTGGCAGCCCAATAACATACTAGAGCAGTCAATGCTGTCCACATGGTTCTCCACATGAGGTTTTTAGAGAATCCCAATACTGTAATCTATAATGCATTGCAAAAAAAAGGTATCGCTTTTCAAGGCCATTCTCCACAAAAGGGAAATACATGGTTAATGAGAAGAAAAAATGCTTTCCATTATATTTCTGTAAACCAGAAACTAAGAAAAGAATGTCTTTGAAAAAAAAATTATTCCAAATCTTACCTATACCTGGCTGTAAGTGTTTAGATGATTTCCATATTAAAGAAGGAAAAAGAAAAAAAAAAAAAAGGACTGATAGGAAAGATACCATGACATAAGATTACCACAAAACATTATTTTATAGCTGTTTATAATGTGCTTTAATAACAGTCTTGTAATGTTTATATGATCAGTGGGCATCCGTACAATTAAGGCACAATTGAGGAAGCTTGTGAAGAAATAGCGTATCATGATGTCATTCATTTAAAATTGTATCAGTAATTACTGAACAACTGGACTTTTAATGAAGTGTTAAATAGCAGTGTTTATTTAATAAGGAAGAAAATGATTACCACAACTAAAATATGACTAATACTTCAGCAGTTTAATATACAGCTTCATTTGGAATTTGAATATATTAATTGAAAGCTTTTCAATGTGTTTTTTTTTTGACATTGTTGATAGGTTCCAGCTGAACAACACATTTTGCTCTATCTTTTTAAAAAAGATTTGTTCCATAATTACTATGACTAGCAAATATTTATTAAGAAGGCTTTTGTCTTCTGTCTCTTATATGCAGTGCACTTGGTTACTTCATATTTGACCATGTTTTTTGTAGAATCAGTTTTGCCCTTTCCATATATTGACATTTAGGCTTTGTTTTGCTCTTCAAAGGACTTATGACTAGTTATTTTCTGATATAAGAAAAAAAAACAAAAACAAACAAAAAAAAAAAACCACACAAATGTTTGCAAGACTTGAACTGCAGTACATTCTGCTTTATTTATTCTTTTGTCCTCACCTTTCTTACAAAAGGAAAGCTATTTCATCATCCTGTAGGATGGATCACTGATAAATTAGTTTTTCAGGGAGTCAAGATGGTAGATAATATTTGAAACAAATGTAAATTAGAAAAAATAAGTTTCTACCCACATCTAAATTTTTTTTAATATATTTTCAGAGAAAAATTTATATGGGACCAAGGCATAAACTACTGTATTTTTACATGTCATTTAGAATACATCATTTCTGAAGGCAGTTTGTGCTGAGTGCATGTTCTGTGTAATTGACACCTTTTTTTTTTTTTTTCTCTACATGTATATTCAACTTGCCCACTTGGCTTGTGCTTCTATAGGACATGTTCTACCTTTAAACATTGTTAGAGTAGGTGTAAAATATCCAGAGTTTGATTCTCACTCATTTTTCTGTCTTATGTGGGCCATTGTCTAACTGCTGGAAAGAATCTACCTCAACAGAATTAAAATCCATCACATAAAAATAATTAATCAACATCTTTTCACATTGTACCTGCATTGACTTTAACACTAATGAGCTAGTGAAAAATCTGTTGTCTTTAGTGTCAGGGATGTATGAATCTAGATCAACTTTAGTTTAGAAGTTTCTCATTTTACTACCATAAAACATCTTACTTTAAACTAGATTGTGGGTATTCAAATTTATATTCAAATGAGTTCAGTAGTTTTTACAAGAAACGCTAATTGAATTAAATTGCTGTCTCTCTTTAGCAGTGTTAAATCAAAAGATAAATGTAAAGATAAAATGAGATTCCTGACCTGTTTAAAAGTAATTAAAAAATGTTTTATGAGATATTTTTTTATCCTGTAAAATTTAAAAATATCACAGGAGTTGTTGTTGTTTTGTTTTAAGTAGCAGACAATTGCTGTCTCACATCTATGGTTGAGGAGAGAGTAAAGGTAGCAGGTCATTTTCTACCAGACCACAACTCCATAGCACCTTTTTTTAGTTGATATTTCACACAAGGTGATTATGAACTTTTAGGATTTGAATATCTGTCTGCTACAAGGAGATTATCAACTTATCCAGTACAGTTTGTCATCAGGTCATAACTAACTACTATCTGTCACTGTCTTACTCACCTTACTCACTAGTAAGTTGGATGAAACAGCTTAGAGAGCTTTCATTATCTCTGAAGAAATCCTCTGGGATGTTTGGTCTGCAAGTAAGAAAACCTAACAGATAAAAATGAACAAACAAAAAGAAACAACAAATAGGAATCGAATCTTGGCCAGCAACTAAATTTGGTCTGTATCCCTGTTAGGCAGAGTTAAGCAGCAAACAACAGTTGACAGGATACATTCTTAGGGTCTCAGAAATTAATATTTTATATCTCTTGTTTATTACCTATTGCCTACTAATTATTTTCTGTATTGAATTGCCCATCTTGCTGTTGTATACTTTAGTCAGTAGGTAGAAATGCCTATTCTGTCATGTTTCTTACATGGGCATTGATGATGTTATTTATTCTCCATTACTTCATATCAGCCTTTAGTACAGTATTTTCATTCCACTTTGGACAAAAAACCAACCACCCCCACCCCTAAATGCATAAACTATATGACTTTAAAGTTTTCTATTTCCAGAACCCCTTTCAGCACCCTTTACCACCAGTAAATATTGGTGTTTGGACCTTCTGATAGCTTTCTTGCTAAAATTATTGTTATATTTCACCTATTTGTTTGAAAATGAGACACTTTCAGTAGGAAAGCTTCACAGTCTTATTATCTTTGTTTTGTTATATAGATAATTCTGAATGAGAAGTTCTTTTAGCCTGAAGAAAGAGTCAGCCATAATTGTATTTACATTATAAGTCATTTTCAAAGGTGCTAACTGCTAACTAATAAATTTTCTGAAGCTAGCCAATCCATAATGACTTTTACTGTGGTAAGTGGCAAGTGGGGTTTTCTTGCTCCTTTTTCTCACAGACCATGATTTACATTAAATATATACGTGTTCCTTTGACATTAATTTAACCCCGAGAGGCCACTCTTAATGGAACTTTCATAAAGACTTTATTAATTTTTCCCCATAAAAGGTGATCCTTAAATAACATCAAAGATTTACCCACCCCCTTTCCTGTTTCTGGCACTGGCTAATAGAGGCTTACTCTGGTAGCAGAAGGCTGTTCTTGCAGCTCTATCAATCCTTGGCTTAGAAAGCAAGGGGGCTTCCTAAACCAGAAATCACAAACTAACCTGTTATTAAATTAAAACTATGCAGTGAGAGAATAGAAGCGGAAAAGCTTCTCCTGCTGTATCGCTTTGACAGCCAGATCTCTGGACAATTGATGTAGAACAGGGAAGATCTTGAAAAATTATTGGTTTCAGAAAAATTTCTTCATTTCAAGTTCATCAGAGGTAAACACAGAATTTAGGCACATTCAGGCTTAGCTGCCCAGAGTTCTGTTAGTGTTGGTTTAAGCAGTTACCAAACCCTGGTTTCTTCTTTGTGTTGTTCCTCTGGGAAAATGAAGAAAAAAAATCTTTATTAGGAAAATGTCTTTGTTAAGAAAAAAATATTTACTGTGAGGGTGGTCAAGCTCTGGAACAGGCTTCCTAGTAAGGTGGTTGATGTCCCATGCCTGTCAGTTTTCAAGAGGCATTTGGACAATGCCTTTAGTAATACTCTTTAACCTTAGGTTAGCCCTGAAGCAGTCAGGCAGTTATACTCGATAATATTTCTAGGTCCTTTCTAAATGAACTATTCTATTATTCTATTCTATTCTATTCTATTCTATTCTATTCTATTCTATTCTATTCTATTCTATTCTATTCTATTCTATTCTATTCTATTATTCTAATTTTTTGTGTTTCAAAGCTAGATGTAGGATTGCATAGTGAGCTGATCTCTATGAAAAGTAACCATTTTGGTTAGTTTTGAAATCAGAATCCCTTTCCTTATGCCAGTAACAGTTTTGCATGGTGAAGACCTTACCAGATGATTTTATCATAGCGGTAGACAGTAATGTATTTCAACATTTGGTATACAAACAAGAAAGCAAACAAAAAGCTATAGAAAGTTGTTACATGGAATGACCTGTTACAACATTATCTCTGCATTATATGTCAATTGCATTTTGCTATTGAGAAAGAATAACAGTGAAAATTTTTAGCAACATTTATGGGGTTCTGGTGGAAAATGATCTCACCTCAATGCCACTCCTACTTGCTTCAGTTCTTCATGCTGGCTGAAGTAAGAAGGGCCAGAATAGAGCAAGCTATTCAGCAGCACCAAGATATATTTGTCAAATCATGTGCTAGTAAAAAGGTGAAGCTGAAAAATACAGTGTGTAAGTGTAAAATGGTAAAGCACTACTGAACAACTACTATTAATATAATAGAACGATCTTACAAAAAAAAAAAAGTGATTGATATTATGAACTAGAACTTTGTGAATCAGATATACAAAATAATTTCTTCACTTTACTCACGACTTATAAGTTTTCAGCAAATATCTGTGTCCAGCTGGAGACATTACTTTTTATGAAACATCCTTTAAAGTTGCTAGAAAGAAGAAAAAGTAGAACCATTGTCCTACTCCCTGTTAAATGTCCAACATAACCATGTGGGATTAAACATAAGAGCAGCTTAAACTAGATAATCTGGAAAAAAAATATATATTTTAACCTTCGTAAGAGAAAAACATTGCAAGGTGTAACACCATGCAACCCTTAACATTTAAGTACTAGACATGCTTTAGAGCAGGAGAATTGATCCAATTTTATTTTCAGACCTCTTTCTATGCCAAATTTACAGGTTTCTCCCTTGAAGAACTCTACTAGAATTACATACAGACTTCCTTTCTTCTTAATTTGTAGACCCTAAATCTTCTGTCAGCTGCTTTGAAACTTCCAGCTTCTGTATTCAGCTACCCTTTAGCAGTGCACACCATGACAGGTGAGAGCTTCGACTGCCAATGAGGTATTCTAATGAGTGCAGTTATAAAAATACAGGTGTATCTTATTTCCTCCTCACTTCATTTTGCATTAAAGGAAGATCAAACAACAGCAAAAAAGCCAATGGTCTCAAATATGGCATGCCACTAACCATGAAAAATCAGTATGTTCAGAACTGTGGTTTCCATAACAATTATTTGAACCTGCAGGGATAAATTCAGTTTCTTGAGTGGTGAGGCTTCCTAAATCTCAGACACCTATCTCAGACACAAGATACCTAAATCTATCAGGCACCCATAGTCACAAGGGAGAAATTGGGCTTTAGTACTTGAAACATCCCAACAAAATATATCACAGGTACAGCTGCAATATCAAGTCCAAAGAACAAGCTAAATATTATATATATAATATATATGTAATATAATATATAATAATAAATTGACTACTGACAAGGTTGAGAGGAAATAGAAAAAAATAAAATTCCATGTAATTAAAAGTCACACAAATTGCACTGTAAAATCACAACACAATATGCCACCTCAATTCATGCTTTCTGACAGTAACAATAGATTGCCTTTGGCAAGTTGTGGAAAACAAAACAATCTTATTTGTGATAAAAATAAAAACTTATCCTAACAGCATTTCATAATCAGCACATCATATTGATTGTCTACCTCCATCTCCAATGTATCTATATTTTGTAATAACAACACAATATAATGATATAGTTTCCTTAACTGAAGTGAATAAAACCATACATGAAGATATTGAACAATATATGGATAACACAATAGAATCCCGCCTTACACTTTTATACAACAGAATTAAATAATTTATTATTTTTCTAAAGTGGAAGTGAAAAAATAAACAAAGCTGAACCAGCTCTCATTCCTTCCTCCATCCTTTCTTGGGAAAAAAAAAAAAAAAAAAAAAAAAAAAAAAAGCAGAGAACCTATGGCCAAAGAGCTTTAAAGGAAGGAAAGAAATCACACCAAAGTAGTTGTGTGCATACATACATACATGCATGTGAAAGTTATAAATGTTGCTATAGAACTATCCTGGATAGAAGATAAATTGCAACATGCTAAGCAAAATTTTTTTTTGCTTACTAGGAACACCTTTGAATATGAGGTTAATATATGTTACCCCTATGTGGTGCAATTGCCTAAAGTAACTAGGAAAATAACACTGATATTCACATTTTAAAGAAAATGTAAAGCATTGAAGAAGTTTTCAGGGTAGGGCATAGCTACATTACCTGAGCGTTCCCTAGGCTTCCAACCTTAGATGCTATCACACTGGGGGAACCTGGTGTGCGAGCTCTAAGTTCCTTAGAGTATAGAGTGTAGAGTTGAGTGGAGACACCACAGCTAGGCTCTGTGACCAAGTGGGGACTCAATTGTTCTTGTGCACACTGAGACCGATAAGCTGCACTTTTTTGCTACCCTGAGCCAAGGACCTGTCATGGTTTAACAAATGCTGTACCCTAGTGTACTTTTGCTCATTATAATATCATTATAATACCAAAACACACTTCCATCCAAAAAGCTACCCGCCTCCAAGGTGCGACCACCCCTTATTGAGTATGCACTCTGAATTTCTTGGAGCCTATTACTTTAAACACAGACGGGAAAACTTTTCACCAATCATAACTAAGATATGCTTGACTAGAGTCACCCAAGCTCCATCTAAAAGATAGAAAATAATATAAATTGGCCTAAGAGAGAGGGGATGTCAGGGAATATACCATCGTTAGGGAAGATACTACCATCAGGGGAGATACCATCCTGATGGAATACACCATCCTGAGGACCTCCTGACTCCTGGGATCAGTTGATGGGCTGAGCCTCTCTTCCCCGCCCTCCTCCCCACTGGGAGAGATTTGGGTGAGATTTGAAAACTTGGTTATACTGTGTGTCTCTGCGGAAACTTAGAAATCTCTAAGTCTTTGTGCCTTTTAATGTATTAACTTCCAGGCTGCGCACCTGTGACACCTGTGTATTTCATGCATGATAGCTTGCTTTTGCAGACAGTAACTATTGCCAGCAATCCAAAGGACCTGTGTACCTGTTGCTGTAATACATTGTGCATTGTTCCTAGCTGTGATAGTTCTCATTGAAGGTGATTAGAGTAAGGGCAGTTATATATTATTGGTGAATCCATGACCGTGGTAGTTCAGTGCTCTGAATCCAACCAGACCTCTAACGGTTAGCGTGTTATTGGTAAATCTGTGATTGTGATAATTCAGTACCCTGAATCTGACCGGACCCATAACAGTTAATCAACTACACCCCTTAATGCGACACCCTAGGACTGGAATAGGCAGTTCACAGCCACTCTTAAAAATAGGACCTGGAAATATCTCCATCACACAATGAGGTATCCTGATCAAAAATATGATCTTCTGTATTACAAGGTGTTGTAAGCAGCAGTAATATTCCATCTGAAAAATTTGGACCTAAAAGCCTTTTGTGAACTGCTACTTTTGCAAAACTACAGAATTTGTCAGAAATCTTAGTTCTCTACACAAAAGAATACCTGAGATCTGTTCTGAAGAAGTTTACTTTATAAATTGCACATATCACCAAGAAAGATTTTTTTTCACTTAAACTATTTTTTTAGGTGCAACTGCTGTTTAAAAGGTGCTCATACAAGCAAATTTTATCAAAACTTTAGTCTTAATACAGTGTATTCTACTTCGAAGCTAAATATATATATGTGTATATGTTTATTTTTTCTGTTTCTGATTTTCCTGTTACATAATTTACATACATATTACAAGTTCAGAAACGGAGATACTGTCCATTCTGTTGAAGGAATAGCTACTCAAGAAGAGCTGTGATTTTATCCATTCCTATTTAACCACTTCTCATCTTCTTGCTTGGTGATCCTTGTTTCTTTTTTACATAGCATATTTCTTGTGAGTGAGAACTCTAGAACTGTATCTATTATTAAAATGAAAGTTATTTTCAAATGGACTGTTTCATATTTCAAAGTCAGGCTGCAGTTGTAGTATAACTGAAGGAGGATTAAAGATGATGGTACTAGAGTCCCATATTTTTACAGGGAAATTGCCACTCGTGTGATCATATGATTAGCTGTTTAAAAAAAAACTTTAACACAGCTGAATCCATTTCTTCTTGAACAGACAACTCCAGTCTCATGAGAAGATATGTTGGCACACTACAGTGGGTGGGCATGCACTGCATGTTGATGGTAGGACTCTGTTATAGCCAAATGAAAACACCGTTATTATTATTTTAAATTATAACAGGTTCATTATTATTATTTTTACTTATTTATTTTAATAAGGCTGGTAGATTTCATTTTACCATAAAGGTAAAAGAGAAAGTTCACATAGGTAGTCATGGTATTTAACTACTTAGTCAGGAAACCTAACAATGCAGTGTCTTGAATTTCCCCCTTATTGGTTGTTCTGAAATTATGTGAAAGACAGATAATTTCTCCTATAATTTATAAGAAGCCTTCGTAGTGGGAAGAACTCTGAAGTCAACAAAGATTATTGTTACATTTCATTATGATAACATTTAAGTACCTACTTCTATATTCTCTGTCTTAAATTCTTAGTAATGTATTAATTTTGTAGTACTATAACAAAAACAACCATTGCCTAAGTTCATATTCTGGTGCTTAGATATATGAATTTATGACATAGCTGTCCTATTTTATTATAATATATCATATACACCAAACCAGTGAACCAAACAAACTGAAAAAAAAAAACAAACAAAAAAAACACAAACAGTAACAACAACAAAACAAAGGCTGCAGTGAGAATGTAAAAACGTGCACCTCTAAACAGGCAATGGACATAAAGAAGATAGAGGGCAATTAGCAAAAGTAATAAACTGCCACTCCTAAGCAGTTTAAATGAACCCATCCAATTTACACAATTCACTAGCCTGACTTTATCTCATAGCAATTATTACAAGCACACTGATGTTCTAGTGTATTATAGGAAATACAGTCCTCGTCCTTCCCTTGAGTCTTACTAAATAAGCAAATTATATTGATTGTTGTCTTAATGGATAATACTGAAAATAACTCCTTTTGGTCTTTTTATCATGTGGAAAAGAGGAAATACTCTATAAAGTCCTTTTGGTTTTGCATGTTAATTGAGAAGAAATATTTTATAATAAGATTAAAAAAAATAACAAACATATTTCTCACTTGTGCAATTTCAATACTCTTTTCAACATGAAGGAAAGAAGCAGTGTTTCTTTAGTTCCTCAGACAGATGGCTGCAGCAAACAAAAAGCATTTTCATGGGAATAGCAAGTTTAGCTTCTAACAGTTATACATTTTTTCCTCACCAAATCAAGACTGCTATAAAATTTCACAAACCTGCATGTTGGGAGGTAACAAGTGTCTTAACTATGTGATAAGGAATTGGTATTTCCACTTCTCTGTTAGACAGAGAGGCAGGGGCTGAATCAGCAATCTTATTTACACACAAAGTTTTCCTAACCATCATCTTTACACTTCATAAGTTGGGTCACAATTCTAGAACTCCAGTTCTTTGCTAAGGCAATCCTGAACAAGCAATTGGAATGAAAAGACTTAATATGGCAATATAACAGGTAGGAAGCTAAGACAAGGAAATCCAAAACAGTGACAGGTCTTGCAGGAGGTGGGTGACAGAACTGTCATAGTAGCACCCCTACTGTTAAACACAAATTTAATTTTCCTTTATGCTCTTTGTTGTATATTTTACTTTTATTTAGACCTGATAGTCCCCAAAATTTTACAGGCAAGACATTTCAGTCAACTTTTACATATCAGTTCAGACTGTATGACATACATTTTGCACAAGAATTCAGAAACCTAAACCATTTACTAAGCAAGTTTTACGGTGCTGCTTTCATAAAAATAAAAACCTTAAAATCCTCTAGCTTCCACTCTTTTACAATTTTACTCATATAATACCGTCAATAGCATATTTTATTACCAAACATATTTGTAAAGATCATTTAAATGTACTTTAACA